TGAAAACAATCGTCCAGAACAGAAGTAATATAGAATGAAAATAATAATAATAATGGCGTCAGAGAAAAATACATATTCATTTTCATATAACGTTAGACAGTAATGTTCAATATTCATTCCTAAAAACAATCGTTACCCAAGAGGTTGCACACATTGTTACTTTGTTATGAAGACCTAGCTATCACAAACAAGAATGGAGACAGCATACATAAAAGTTAAAGTGATGTCACCCTAGCACTTATTCCGCCAATTTCTGGACAGTTTTCTGAAATTTTGTCTTTTTTTATGCGAATTGTCGATTTTCCGATAATGATCGTTTCCATTTGAAAACCTTCCTTTTTTGGCCAAGCGTAGTCAAATCAAGAGCTATATTTGAGAACGTTTGCATTTATGTTAAATAAAATTAATCGTAACATGAAAAATATGAAAATACATTTATTATAAAACAATAGATTGCTTAATATGAAAATTATTATCTATTAAGATTAATAATATTGGTTTTAAGTGTTCGCAAGATTGTTTACATCCGTGAGAGAAGAGCCGCCATTCCTCTCCGCTTCGATGTCATATATCGCTGCTAATTTCTTGTCTGGACACACCTTTCTGGGGAATTCTTCTCATCGATAGTATTGGTCAGAGTCGTTACCTCTAGGATATCAGAGATGGCGGGTACACAAAGGATAAATTGAAGAGGAAAGCGTACAATAATATCGTCGTTTCGCGTGACTGCCCCTCAAAAAGTTGATAATTTATGAAAAATACCAAATAAAGATGACGGAAAAGGTGCTAGTGTGACAGCACATTTAACGAAACACGTAACCAGATAATACTCGAACTTCATGTGAAATATTGCTCAACTTTTGCTTCCGTCTGTTTCTCTCTCTCCCTCTATCTATCTATCTATCTATCTTTCTTCTTTACAATCATCTTAGTAAAACATGGCTGGAATTTGTGCGAACATTATTACTCTTCGAGAAGGATGATAGGGCAAGTTATTTCCAAACTTCCATATAGGAAACAAAATACTGATGATAAAGGATGAAATAAATCAAAATTCACCTCAATACAGATCTTCCTTCAACAAAGTTCCTGGGAATCCTAAACTCTGTGAATCCTTTTTTTTAATAAACCGTATTTAAAACTACAGACTGTTCTTGATCAAACTCATTATCTTTTACGGTGGATTAACTATACTTCATGGCACTGCCTCGACCCTTTCACAATTCCCTACTGTAATACCTCCATGTTAGTATACTTCACATGAAGTTTCACTGCCAATAGTTTGAGCATTTTCACACATTAATGGACAGAATACGAAATCGGATTTGTACTTAAAAGTTTCGGATAATTACTGTAACTCCACATTTATTTTGCACAAACTCAAAAATGTCTTCAAACTTACCTATGATCTTGCTTACAATGATACTCGCACAAACCACACACAGCAGAACGAGGTTTCGCGAGGAGGAACTTACACAGTGACGCAAAAAATATCCTAAGTGCTTCACATTCTTAAGCCCAACACGTGTATACTGTGCTGTCAATTAGGTTCATGACAAACAAGAATACACGACAAAGAATCAGACACTCTGGATTAAGGCAGTAAAAAAAAAATGCACTATTGCAAATTATAAACAATGATGTTTGACAAAGAAACTACGCCCTTCAATTCTACAAACGTGTTTCAAAAGAGTTTTGTAAATATTGCATATTTCATCACAAGTACATCACATTTTCTTAGGCCCAACACGTGTGCTGTGCTGCCAGTCAGGTTCATGACAAACGTAGATATATAACAAAGAAATTAGATTAAGTATTAGGGAAAGATTAAACTGCACGATTACAAAATTATAAACCATGATATTTGACAAAGAAATTATGCTCACGTTTTCTGCTCACGGAAGGCGGTTTGAAAATCTTATAAACAGGTTATAAAAAGGATTTACAAATATTGCATGTTCTCTTTTTATGTTTCTTGGTGAGTCACCCAGAATCCTGATAATACTTTCTATTTCAGATACACAAACACGTGTATTTCTTTCACGAAACACCAGTCCTTTTCACCCACTCAAGATGTCAAAGTTATATTTGAAAATTTCAGGAATATTTCACGTAATGTGAGCCATCCGGCATTGATTAAACATTTTTCATCCAAGACGGTATAGATTTCACAAAATTATATCATATATAGCAATATAAATATTCTTTTTCGCAGATGATATGTTCATGACACCCAATTCTTAAACTCGATAGCAATTACCCCCTTCCCCCTCCGCCTCCCCTCCCCTCCCTTCCCTCCTTCCTCACACAGACACACTCACAATTTCCAAACTTTAAGTGAGCGTTAGACATGCAGACGATGATCATCCCCTTCCATACCCTCGCCATACCCACCTGGACGGGGCACAGAAGGGCGTCGCGGAATGGCGGAGTCTCCCCTGGGCGACAGCGCGGCATAAGCCCGTTTTCTGGGCCGCGTTGGCGAGAGCGGGTCGGAGCCTCGGCCGCCAGGTGACAGTGTGGCTGGTGCGTCACTTGGCCGAGGAAGCACGCCGGGCAGGGCCACACTCTCCTCCCTCCCCCGGTCCCCTGACTCGTCCCTGGTGGCACTTCTCGAGGCTGGAAGAGAGCAAGAGGGCGAGCGAGGATGGCGTCTCGCGACGGGCCCATGGTGGCGGGCACGGACGGCACGGACTTCATCCACAGGGAGACCGTGGCTTCCCATTACCAGATTAGGTGAGTGTAACGCGATGCCGTCGCCGCTACAACTGAGTATTCCTGGCACCCGGCACCTGGCACCTCCCTGGCACTCTCGCTGCGCCCTCGGCCCGCTGGTCATTCCCGCTGCAACAGTCACTCGATTCCTTTATTTTTTTATTACCACCGTAAAATGATGTCCAAAATGGGGTCTGGGAAGGCAGGGCACGGCTTGCCACCCGCCCCAGCTGCCCGCATGGGGCCCTTGTGTCATGCAGACGTGAGGGGCTGGGGAGGGCACCGTATGGAAGTTATGTAATAAAACCCGTCTAACTCAGAATGGCAGGTTATTGAACCTTATACCATATGTTCAGACTCTCACTATCGAGGGGTGGCTTTCACCTATGAATAAACTCTTATATACTTATTATGAATTCCTTTCTCCCTAATCACCAATTATAGTGGATTGTGAACCCTTCCTGATGAGTTAGATAAAGCTAAACACAATAATTCTTCATCATCCATGCAATAAGGTGACCACATGTAGCTGCCATGTTGGGGCCAGAAATTAACTTGTTGCTGAGAGGTTGGTTTTCCATTCCCTGATTTGGATATTTCTCCTACTTTCCCTTGCTGCGGTTATTTAGATCAACGTGCTTGAGTAATGATTTAGGTACAGAGCTGTTGTGGCTTTAGAAGGTGATTTTTAATGAGGGTTAAGTTGAGTGATATTACTAGGTATACAGTTTTCTTTCAAGTTTCATGGGTAAATGTGATTGAAGCACAGATTTCCACCTTTATTCAGTAGACGCTGCTTGAAAGTTATCTAAATACTGTTAGCAATACATGATGTAGGGAATTTCTATGAATTAATGGCAAATGTTTGGAAGAGAGACCACCCGATTGGTATGGCCTCTGCATCTGTCAGTATTTCGGCGAACACCCATCCTCCAGCCGTAGCTAGGGTTTACTACCACCATATTTGTGGCAGTTTTATTGCCTTTTGCCAGGCTCCGAGAATATGGAGGCCTCGACACTTGTTTGACAATGTACCATAGACAAATTTGTTTAATGATAGTAAGCTTTCCATCAAAATCATAGGAAGTTTCAAGTTGGCACGGATAAACACATATACATCCCATCGCAAATGTTGCACAAATTTGCTAAATTTACTGATGAGATATATATGTATACACATTGCTTTGATGAAGGGAATGTCATGTCAAATTGTCACAAATAGCTATGTAGATTTTCATTGACATGTGAAGACAGGAATGTATTTTCAGTGATGTATTGATAGTAAGGATCTATAGATTACATTACCATTATTTTTTTTTTTTTTTTTTTTTTTTTTTTTTTTTTTTACTTTTTAGTATTAGTATCATTAGTATTGCACTTACATTCTATGAACTTTTGGTAATTCTTTACAGTATGGAGACATTCACCATAAACTATATTCCCAACTTCACTTCAAAAAACTTATTCATCAATCTAAGTTGATCAAGGGTTGATGGAGACTCTACCCCAATCTTCACCTCGTATGCATGGCAAGATTGAGCTGAAACTCAGGAGTACAGTGTGTACTTAGGCTGAGAGTGGCGCTTTCCGCAGTCTTTTTCCTTTATTTGTGGTGCTAACATTCGGCAGCAATTTGTTTCCTCAGCAAGAATATCACATTCAGTTTGCCCTAGCTCAGTGCGTCCATACCGTAAAGATTAACCAAACTTTTTTGTTGGAATTTTGATATTTGAACACATAGATGATATCAGTTCCTTGCCTGTGTCTTTTTTTTCATATTTAGGAAATAGTCAATTCATACGTAAATGCAAGTATTTCTTTATGCACCTTCTTTAGTCATGACTTAACCAGTACATATTATATTGTGTACAGTGATCAGTGTCTTTTGTTGCTTGCCCTTATTTATTATATTGGGTAGATATTTCCCACTATCTGTAAGTTAAACCAGAACCCATTATACTTAAAAAGAAATTAATAGATCATACATACCCAGAACAAGCTTAATCATCATTTGGGAAAAGAACATTAAATGCTGCTGAATATTGTTTGGAATATCCATTGCTATGTACCAAAAGTATGGCAGTATTTTGAACTTCATAGTTGGGTGTTTGCTCTATCAGAGAGCTAAGATCATGTGTGATCTGTAATCTATTTTAAGTTTTGTTTTCCGTAATCTTTCTTTTTCTTTCATTTGTTCCATATTATACAAGTTATATTATGGACCCCCAGTTGAGGTTTGGGACTTTGATATGACATATTTTTAGAATGAAATTTAGAAGTAACAAATGATATGTGATATTATAATACTTTTTTTATCAGATTCTCTATGAAAGAGTTCTCTAAGTAAAGACGCACATCCCCTACTGAGTATTGATTTTTCATACAGACTTCATATAAATAAAGTGGTCAGGCTCAGTTTTGACTTGTTTACACGAGTAGGTATGCACTCTCCCTTGTTACACTAAATCCATAATGCTGGTTGGCAAATATCCATGCCATTACACAGTCAAACTTAATGTATATTACCTTCACTTTAATTATCTGTTTGTTTTGCCCCGACTCCAGTCATTGACTTGATACAGCCCTTGATAGTAGGCTTGAATTCTCCTTTTAACATCGGTTTTGAAAAGGTTATAAACAGCAGGAAGGAGTGTACCCAACAAGTCTCAGTATAGTATGGGTAAAAGCTATGGTCATGTGGTTAAGGCTAGCAAGTAGGCTCGAAACATGCAATCCTCGTAGCAAGTCCCCTGCCTGCTTTTCCCCATCCTTAACCCATGCTTCTCTTTCATCAGTGTAGTTAGTTGTGTCACCATGCAGTTTAAAAGACTGACAAGATTTACATATATAATTTATTTAGGGATGTATGTGTGTGTGGGTTATGTACATGCATAGATACAAACACATGTATATGTCAACACCATACATGCTGTTTCTGTTCATTGTAATATAAAAGTATACAGAATTATAAGATATGAAAAAAGCAATGCAGCTTTGAGTAACAAAAGATACACAAGTAAATACTGTAACCATTTCAGTCTGACAAATCTTTTCTTTTATCAAGAGGGCTAAAGCAGCAATTAGTACCCTATTTTTATACATGGGATTATCTCGTAGAAACAGTTCAAGGTTGTTTGATAACTGCATATGATAAGATATCACTATGCATTTTAATGACATAGGTAATTAAGATCTTCAAAATCTAAAAAAAAATAATATATAATAATAATGATAATTATCATCTTAATTTTCGTACTACAGCTCATGTCAAGAGAAAAAATAGATTTATAGTATATAAAGTCAAGTGGAATGAGTTAATACTGGAAACATTATATGCCATTACTCATCAAAATAACTGTCAGCAACAGTGATATATTCTTTTATAGTGATAGTGGTAGTCCATAACTTTTTTATTTTAATCTTGATCATTGAAATTCATGTCTTGTTATGTAGTTGAAAGTAGGTATGGATGCCTTGTATTACACACTATACTATATTCATAATGAATGCTAAAGTACTGCATGACGAGCCTGGAGCATCTTCATTAATCTTTGACAGTCCATCAGACCTTGTTCCTTGATACAATCAATTTAAGCTCGGGGATAAACCCTTCATCGTCCCCCCAGTCAAGAAGGACCAGTAGTTCAGTAGCTCCTTTGAAGTGTCAGTTGTTGCTGCCAAATCTGTTGAAGTGATGTATACCCAGCGGCCCATCCCTTTGATAATTCTCTCGCCGCTGAGCTTTGGCAATATACCTTGAATATTTGGAAAAACTTTGTTTTTGTTGGGTTTCAAGATGCTTATACTCCCTCCACCCTTCTTGTTTTATAGATGTTTGAGTTTCGCTTTACTGTTGTCTTTTTGTCTTATTCATAGTTTTCCATATTTGGAGTAAAGATCCCTCTGTAAGAGATGAATTGTTTTAGGTGAACTAGAATCCTGTAAGATACAGTTGATTCTATATGCATTTGAATTTTGTGTTCATGAAAGAATAATATCCCCTAGGAATTTGACCATTAATTTCTTGTTTTTGTATGTTGATATTGCAACATTAAGAATATTAACAGTCAGAACAAGTATTGATACAAAAAATATTGATTGAATAAATAGACTTTATATCCAAGATGATTAATAATCTTTCAGATTCTCTTAGCTATGAACTAGTAAGAGAATAGGCTACAGGTGAAGGTAACTCACATTATTGTTTGAATCTTACAGCTGGCCTCTCAAGAAGAAAGTGTCAGAAGTGTAAGTGATAAGGCAGGCCCCTGTCATCTCGTTACTGGCCTAATATTACTGTATAGAACTTGCAGACGGATCTGTCTGGCTGAGAGACAGACATCAGAGGACTTTAGGAATTATATGACATTAGATGACTTCAGATTATAGTGTCTGAGTGATATTAGGCCAGTAAGTCCAGGCAGTTAACCTGAGTGTGGTGTAAAGATCCCTCCGACCCTCTCTATAACCGTATTCTACCTGGGTGTTCTGTGCATGTTCGGTGAGAAGAATTGTTTGCATCAGTGGAATGAAAACTCGACTGTCTTCTTCACTGTGCCAGAGAGGATGGTAGACTTTATGAAGATAAAACTTTCATATTTCTTTCTTTTCAAAATATTGATTTGCTGTTTTATGCTTTGAGAAGTCATGTCTTTGATCAAATCATTAATTTATTTCTAGATTTTAGGAAACAAAACTCAAATATTACTTGCTGAGTTCAAAAGTGTCATTAAAGCAAAACAAAGCAAAGAAGAGAATATATGTATCAATAAAAGAAAAAGCCGTAGTGACAGTGATAAAAAAAAAAAAAAAAAAAAAAAAAACTTTGTAAAACATTTCAATTCCCGATTCTTTTAGTCATAAGTGCATGGTGTCACCTCCCTGGCATAAACCCTTGGTCCTTAGGTACACCCCCAGTGCTGGTCGGGTGGCTGACGAGTGACCTTATTGACTTGGTTTTTCTTGCCTTTCACAGTTGATAAGGGTGAGATTTTCCCGCACTTCCTTGCCCTTTGATAAAATTCACTCTTGATAGATGCAAGATGATGGTATCAGCAGTTATAACAAACTTTTGAAATGACAACTATTTGTGTATATTTTTGAAGGAGGAAGTCAGCTGTTGGTTTCAAGACTTTCTTTTTTTTCTTCTTCTTCTTCTTTTTTTCTCTCTCTTCTTATCCTCTTCCTCTTCCTCTTCATTATTTCTTTTACTTTTTGTTTTATGTATTTCCTGTTGACTGCTGTGCTCTACATGGAAATGCCAAGAACCCTCACTAACTCTTTCATCCAGGCACATGCTGCTGAATTTTTGTGGAATTTGTTCCTTTTAACTCCGTGATCTTTTATTTCTGTTCTCGTGTATCTCATCATATGATCTACAGTTTATTGATCTGTGTCACTCGACTTGCCTTATTTATTAGATTTAATGTTACCGAGTCATCTTGTGAAACTTAGACCTCTCTCGTAGATAGATAAGTGCTTTTTTTTCTTCTTCTTCTTCTCTTCTTCTTCTTCTTCTCTGGTACTTAGAGCAATATTTAGATGTTCAGCAGTCTATCCGATTTTAAGAAAGTGAAGGTAGTTTACCGAGACGAGAGCTGGCAAGGGGCAAGAAGAAAAAAATAAATGGTTCTCAGAGAGCATTCTTAAAGAAATTCTATAGGTAGAGTTTCGAATATTTAATAAATGTGTTATAAAATGTATCTTATACATTGTATTACAGTCTGAGAATTTCATGCGTTGCCAGTTTTATTATAGAAATAGTAAACCTCTACATCTCCAGCCTGCTAATATATTTATTATTATTTAGAGAGGAAAGAAAAATTGCAGTGCATTGTTGAAATTGGTAATTGAATTGTTTAATCTGTCAGAGTAGATAAGACAGATTCCTATTCTAAACACTTATAGATCTGAATAAAATTTCTTATTGAAGCTTCTTCATTTTCTTATGATAAAACTTGCTTTGTTATTGCAGGCATACTCTTAACTATAAGATACCCACTATTTCTGTAGAGCAGATATAAAAGAAGCAATATAGTCACCATTTACTATTCTTTGCTTGTTCAAATTCGTCATGCCACTGGTGATTGATGGGGGGTCAACCAGTAGGTGACAGGACAGCATCATGAAAACGGATCATATTCTGTTCTTGGATAAATCCCTAAGTCATTATATACATTGAACCCACCGATTTCATTCCCCTGAGAATAATTGTCCCACTTTTGGTTCTTTGCATGTTGGTATGATGTTCAAAAGAAACAATTTTATTAGATATCTATTTTACTGTTCATGTTGAAAGAGTTGTTAAAACTTTACTTTATGTCTAGGGTTTATGCTGTGTAATTTGCATTATGTCTATATATGTAAAAATGTAAAGTAATGAAGGGCATTGCGTGCCTTTTCCCTTCATATTTTCACCAGAATGCACTTATAATTACTCAGAGCAACAAGGAGATAACTAATAATAACAACAACAACAAAAAACGCTATAGGAATGTTGGAAATGTTATAGGTGTTGCATTATGTTTTATATTTGTTACATCTTTGGCAGTGTGCTGAACAAAGGACGGCTAAGAAAATGCGTGTTTTCACACCTCCTCCTGGCCCTCCTGATGGTGGTGAAGATGGTTCCGGACTTTCTCGACAGACTGGACATATTCGTCCTAGAAATTGAGGAATTAGAAGTTCCACAGGTATTTACCACCCAGCTAAATGATAGTACTGATTCTTTTTCTCCCAGTTTGGATTAACTTTTTCATCACTATATTAATGAACTGATAACTTAAAATTATTATGCATTAAAGTATAAAGAATGTTTTTGATGATCTTTCGATGATCTTTTCAGCCTCTCAAATGGGAATACGTGTGGCTTGTAGGATCCCTTGCCAGTTTCCTAGGCTTGATGGCGATCAGAAAAACAGAGTATTGCTTCTACAGGTAAGCAACTTTAGTTCATAGTTTCATGGTTGAAAAAAAGAGGGATGGAGAGGGAAAGGAGGAGAGAGGGGAGTGAGGCAGGGAGAGAGCGGGATATGGAGAGGGTCAGAGTGAATGAGGAAGAGTGGGGGAGAGGGTAAGAGTTGGAGAGAAGGGAGTGAAATGTAGAAAGTAGGGGAGTGAAAGAGAGAGAGTCTGTTTCTGTGCGCATATGTGTGTGTGTGTGTGTGTGTAAGAGAGAAATGTATACACAAACTTCAGTTATTTTACATTACAAGGTTCACTTCATTTTTTCATTTTAACCTCCTATTATTGTCTTATGTTTGCCTTCATTTTCCAGATATACTTTGGTCTTATCAACCTCTTCTCAACGGTGCCCATTCTCTTGGCTGCCATGATCTATTTCTCCGAATTCCTTAAGTACTGCACTGAGGAGGAGCCTGCAGGTCTACAGCTGTGGCAGGTTGGTGTACATATAAGGCTTTGGGATATCTTAACCCTTTGGTCACAGATGGCATGGTGTTAGCAAAGGCTATGATGGACCGAGTTGCGAATGGCACTACATTGTGACGTACCTTCTGCCGATGGCTCATTGGATGGTGCTTGTCTTTCTCTGATAGTAGTGACGTTTGTTTGATGTCACTAATAGAACCAAGCACTTAGTGGGAAGGAAAACCTTAACTTTACTTTTTTTTTATGAAATAGAAGTATAAGCTATTAGGTGCCCAGTGTTGTCTATAAATTCCCGAACGAGCCGTACCCAAATGGGGGAAACTACCAATGCACGCCACCACCCCCACGTTGCTGGCCACTTGCCAATTTTCAATTCAGCAAATAATGGGTTAAGGAGTATGTGTTTGAGTGAAGGAAAGAAATTGACTTGAGTATGGCGACATTAGCAGATTGTGGAGTTTGTTTGGTTCCAAAGCAGGTATTATGCAAAGAAGCTCGTGAAATTTCTGTACAGATCTCACAAGTGGAAATAATGTCCATAGGAATTGCCGAAGGTGAGTACAAATTTTTTGGTAGTTGGCTGTCTTGGTCACTCAAAATTTCCTTTATTCATCTGTAAACCTATTGGCACCCAGTAATTGTATTGTTTGCAGTAGTTTTGTGAATTTTATTTTGTCATCACGGAGTCGGTTAGTAGGCTACCTGACTTCATCTTGTATCTTAGTTACTTGAAATTTGAATAACGTTTATTTTTTCTGATGCTATTAACCCCATGCCACCGAGAAAATGTTGTGTTCACTTTAGTATTATTTTATTAAATATTTCTGCCCATACACGGCTCTCCCAGTGCTTAGCCACAAAGCAGTCAATTAGTAGATCTTGTGACCACACCTTTCCTTGAAATAGCAGGAAAATGTTGTTTTTTACTTACGCTATTAATATTGATAATGGTTTTTGTTATAAACATTATAATTACTATTTTATTGACATTTCTAACAGCTTTATTAAATACTAGAAAATATTATTAAAAATCAAGAACAAGGGTATTCATGTGAGAAGAGGTACTTCTTGTAAATGGCTCATTGGTGACCTAGTACTTATGGAACCATCTATGTGTAAAACCAATTAATGAAGTAAACACAGTGGGAATGGCATGTGCACATATGCCATCCCCAGCGGCATGTGATTAATATCATCACTGATAATTTGGTAGGTAATATTGACATTGGGATTGTTTTAGTGTTATTATCAGTGCTATTGATAGATGAGAATACAGTTCTTAAAATGTAGAAAAAGGGTTAAGAGTTGAAATCAGGAGTCTAGTAATTAACTCATGGGTGACAGTGGACAGGGCTTGCATGTACTTGCCAGCCCAATAGCAATGTGGTAAGTGTGGTGCTGGGAGAAATGGGGCATTCTTTAGAAGATTCCTACAACTTCAGAGTGATTTTGTTGTACAGTTCACAGCAGGATATAGAATCCTACGTGGCAACTCGCTTCCTGAACTGATTGCCTTATTTTCTTTCTCTCTTTCTTTTTAAGTCTTAGGTAATTGATATTCATACAAACAGCTGTAGGAAGTGGTTTAATCATTTGGTTGAATTGTTTATAGATACAAAAAAAGAAGATAAAGATGAGGCAACAATAATGCAACACACAAAACAAATGCAGCATTCTGTGTAATAAAGTAGCGCAGCTCGCTGAACTTGTCTATTCGTGACGCTAACATCTCCCAGTGTGTAGTTCAAGAGGGATGCCAGCAGGAGATCAGCTTCACCTATACAAGCATTTATCAAAATTGCTGAAAATGAAATATTGTCAATATGATTGCACGTTTGAATAGAATTTATGACAGATATTAGCGGGAAACAAGAGTCATGTCATTTCTGATTTGATGAACAGTGTTCGCATGGGCCCTAACCTACAGTTTTTTAAATGTAAGTATGGTACAGTAGTATAACATGAATTTAGATGCTTGCATAAATATAGGCCCAGTGCCATTGGGAATGGTATGTACAGATATGCCATGCTCAAAGTGAGTTTGTTTATTAATTTTATTTGAACATAGATGGCTCCACAAGTACCTAAGCAACAGTCACACTAGTCACGCATGGCCAGGGATTCTGAGACAGGTACACTGAATGTCAGTCAAGTACAGGATGGATTGGTCAGTGTCCCCCCTTAGAGCAACATCATCCCACAAAAGACAAATACAGTAACTGCCTAAATAACTGCATATTGAAGATAGTCGTGGACTCTATGAGTATCTTACATATTGACTAAAAGTTTCAAGAAAAGCCAGTCCACCCACTGTGTGTGCAGCGGTAGCATTCTCATCTAGCAGTCTTGCTAACCCGTGTTCAATCATGCATGCTGCCAGTGGATGATAATCCCGGCCATTCCTTGCACAGGGGTAATTTAGAAGCCAAAATAAACAAACACCCTGTCACTGCAAAGAATATCCATGTAACAAACGAATTAAACTTGAGTATAAATTACAATTATAGATTAGTTGTCAACAACATCATATAGCAGTGCCAGCTGCCTTGATAGCTCATATTTAACCCATTATGACGGGTGTCCCACATATGAGACACCCAGAAAAAAAAATTGACGGGCCAGTGTGAAGCTGTATGGGGCTCACGCTCCAACTCAGCAGTGGGCCACGGGCAGAGTCCGGGCCAGCCCGCGTCCCGATTTTGTAGCGCCCGGAAACTTTTATTTTCAACTTCAAAACATACCGCGGCAATGGGTTAAATATAATTAGAAAGTCCAACAAATACCATTAGTGTTATCAGTGATGTAGATACAAGAGACATAATTTTGGACTAATAACTATAAAGTTAGGAATTTGAGTGAAGTGTTAGCATTTGTTGATTGTGGCACTGCCTTGCTAGCCATACAATTATGCCCCATGCGAACCAAGGTCTCTTGTTGATTTCATCCATTTATTATTTTCTGTTAGCCTGATATTGTGGCTGATATTCTGTAATTATATAAGGTTTTACCTTCTATATTAACACTGGTCTGTACTGGTAAAACTATTTTTCCCTCTGTAGTACAACACTGTAGTTCTCATTTGGTGCTGCACTAGGCAGGGATTTTCATATCAGTTCCCTCACAGCCGAGAAGTTCCCACTCTGTAAAGGGATCCCCAAGCAGACAAGACTAGTGTGACCATTTTTCTACTTGTGACAATCACAGGTTTTACCTGTCTTAATTGTTTACCCTTTACCTTGATTTTGGTAATGTTTTATTTTATATTGCTATTAGTATTAGTAATAACATTATAATGTTAGTGTTAGTAAAAAATTAACAGCATCAGTATCAATAACTTTAGAAAAATCAAGGAATGGGAAAATCAGGTGATGGCATTACACCACTAATTGACACCTTGAGGGCTGAACTTGTGGAGCCATCTACATGTAGGTATTTCACAAAACAATACAGTGAACATTGCATTTTCCTGGTGGCATTTGGTAAATAATTCTGTATTGATATATGAATGAATGCTAAATAAGGCATAATTGGAATAATGACTTGAACAATTTAGGAAGTTACCATGTTACCAGTTATATGTTCTGCCTATAACCTGCTACAGAATATCCTAAGGAATTGAGAGTTTCAAACAATTCTGAACTTTATTATAAATTGCAGTCCAGGACTTCCTTCCCGTCACTTTGATCCTTCATTGGTTCAGGAAGTGTCCAAGAGTGTAGTACTTTTCCATTTTAATATAAGATAAGATAAGATATAGATCCATTTACATAGTGTTTTTCTCTATTTCTAGGGATACTTTCCTTGTTTCCAAAGACTTTTTAGATGCAAATAGGCTCTTTTTTATGAAATTAGTTGGTTTTGACTTCATACTTGTTTTAGGTTTGCACCAAGTTCACTAAACTCTAGAAATAATCCATTTTAAGGTTGTTTCATTGAAAATTATTTTCATGTTCTACAGTATTTCACTTTATGCCTGCCGAAAGTTCTTCCTGGTGAGCTAGACCAGAGTTGTGAAGAAGGAATGGACTGAGTATGGTCAGGAAACCAGACAGCATTGATGAAGCCCAAGCTGCCCTTGCCTTTCAGATTTCGTGCCTTGTACATTATATGAGTGGTCTTTTACAATGAGACCCAGTCATTCTCAGTCCATTCCTTGTAGAGAAAGGGATTGGGTGAACCAGTTCTTTTATCTGAAAGACAGTGTGTACATGTAGGTGTGGCTATGTTAGTATACATATGTATACACACGTACATAGCCATACTTATTTTGAATGATTATTTAAGATAGATCATTTACATAGTATTTTTCTCTACTTCCAGGGATATCCTGTTGCTGTCCTATGGTACAGCTTCATCATGATAGCAATGCAAGTCCATATCTTCACCCTCATTTTCGCATGGAAGCTCATTCTGGCATGGAAGAACCGTGGAGCAGCAAAGAAGGGACAATAGATCGACAAATCAAAATCACATATTGCTATACAACCTGAGATTACATAAGCAAGCAATATCGCCATTATTGGTGCTTCTGTAATTCCTCGTCTTTACATTGTTGGCTGCTTGTACCACAGTATGTGTATCCTAGATTAATTTTTCTGAGTGGATACAGCTGTGTTGTATTAGCAGACAGTGTACTTCATATGCAATTTTTTTTTGTTTTTCTCTTCTTTTTTATGTAAATGTGTAACTTTTATCCATGGAAAATTTAAATTGTTTTAAAATTGCTGTGTTGCATCTCGTAATGGGATATAATCCTTTTTCTTCTTCTTTTTAGGTTTTTTTCATGCAATTTGATATTAGAAAAAGTATTAAATTTTGTTTCTTATTGCTCTTTACTACAACAGTTGTTTAGGAGATAGCCAAATTTATAATTGTTACAGTAGGAAAAAAGGGGACGAACTGCGAATTAAGTCTCCATTTCTACAACTGGAAATGCATTTGTACATCTGAATAATGTACAGCTGACTGAACATCTATTGTAGTAAAGGCAACTTCACTGGGAGAAAGGTATTCTTTTCATCATGGTTTTCTTTCATTTTTTCTTTCTCTTTTATTTATATGTATATTTGTTTCTCCAGTCTTCATTATATGTTTTTTCTTATGATATTATTTTTTAGAATTAAAAGTTGCCATTATACTGTATTGAAATGTTGATTGTTCAAGTGCTTTGGTCTGTTAAATAAAAAAACAAAAACTTTTTTTTTTCTCTCTTTTTTTTTCAAATTCTAGAATATGAGGAAGCTGCACAGGGTAAAATGTTGCAGAATGACATGTTGAGCGTTTAAAAAATTGCGGTTGTAGAATAGCATTCATATGATGAGAACTTGTAGTTTTATATCAGAAATAAAAGTGACATTTCCGTGATATTTTACAATGATTTCACCTGAACAAAGTATCCAGTGTAGCTTTTTTCAGACGTTTCATAATATCCTCACCTTGTTATTGTTATCTTGATGATTGTTAATTTTCATATGTATTTCCTTGTTATTGCATTTCAAAACATATCATTATTTTTTTTTCTTTTTTTTTCTTTTTTCCCCATTAGCATAATTGTGACATCTCTTCATACCAGTAAAAATCCATCATCTAAACTAGATTTTATTTGTGCTTTTTCACTGTGAATATCTTTCATGCCCATCCTCTTCGCACACGAGACGACAGAGGGAGCATTTCATTAACACATAAAGAAAAAAAATGGAGTTTTGCCTTTTCTCTATCCTCCTTGTTTTTTCTGTTTTTTTTTTGTAATGTGCCTTCCAGTTATGTGAATTCATCTAGGCCTTTTTTTTTTAATATATATACAAAGAAAGAAAATGGCCTATTTTTATGCCATGTCTGGTAACAGTGCCAAATACTTGGGCATTGTCTCATTGCCAAGTATTTTTATGACCTCCCCTTTTATAATGATATCACATACTTGAGTGTTTCTGTTAGGTTGGTAATTGTTAACTTTTTGGATAGTCTAGCTCCTTTTTGTGAAATATGCCGTCTTACCATTTGTTGTTTTTACTTGAATGTTGTCGATTCGATCATGGATTTTCATACGTTGTCATTTTACGTTACGGTTGATTATTGGGGTAATGTCTTGGTTTTGTTTTTACCTCTTTGTCTTAATCTTTTCTCTTATTTCTTCTTTTTTTCCATTCTTTCTCTAACTTTGGTAACATGGATGTATTTTCTTGTCTATTTGTGAATGTGATATTCTAAGCTCTCAATTGCTTTTGACGAAGAACACAATTTGCAATTAGGAATTAACTGGATCACATGCGATACCTGAAAGAAATTTGTTACAAAGAGAACTATTGTGTGTTGCCCTAGTTCCATTAGACGTTCACATGTCCATCCTTCATGCATGAACATTTTCTCCTCGTTAGTGAATAAAGACTCATGTTTAGACAAATAAGTAATACTATTACCTATATTTTCCCTGACATTTGATAAACTTTTGTGTACGTGTATTTTGCAAGTCAAGAGGAATAATAGTTTCATACTAGGAACTATAGGAAATTTATTTTCAGATGAAATCCTTGAGAGGGGGATGTACGTACTTTTTTTTTATCATATGTAAATATCAAGAAAATGGCTACCAAAGAAAAGACAACTTTTTTCATGATTACTTTTATGCATATTAGAGACCTGTTTAGAATCAGTATAAAAGCATAATTCACCGACTATCTGAACAATCATGTACATACAAATTAATGGTGCCTGTTATAAAACTTAGTATGTATTGTGAAATCAGAGAATAGATAACTATAGAAATAATAGGCATAATTTGAACATGGATACGAAGCCAGAAAAGATGGAGAGCTGCCAGGATAATATATTCAGATCTCATTCCTAATGTGTTCATATATTTTTAAGTTAACAAGCTGTGTTATAGAGAGCAGAAAATGAGAACGCACAAAGATATGATCTTGATACTATATATGAATTAGTAGGAAATGCCATTTAGAGAACATAGGATAATTTTTTTCAGTCGAGTTCTTCAAAAGTTATATTGTTGCAACTTAAATTATAATGTGACATTTATAGACTGGAAATGTACCATGAAGCCATGTTAAGTACTTATACCAGTATTGTTCACAGGGTTCTGAAGGTATATTTTTTTTCTTATCTGATATAATGATGTGAACTTAAAAGGTTTTAGAAATAAAGTTTATGATGTATGAAATATCCAATTTCATTTATTATCCAGCATCTAAAAAGGGGAATATTAAGTGTTAGTAAATACATAATGTAGACTAGGTAACCAAATCTGATACACTCTACATAGTCTTTAGTCACTATTGTATGTATGAGGACAGATAAAAAATGTATTGAACCTTTGGCTGTAAATCAAAATCTTAACTGTTGAAATGATAAAATCTATTCAAAATTGACCACCTGGATCTCTGCATACCATGCCGAGTGGTCGTCTTTTTTGTTTATCCTTTAATCGTCGATTATCCTACATCTCTTTTTAGGGGTGGCATAAGTTCTCATATCTAATTTTAATGTATTATTTTTTTAAAGAGGGGAAGGATGAATGTCATAATAAAGATGCAACAATTCTTGTCTTTTGCGACACACAGCATCCCAAATGCGATGCAGAACTCCCAAATGATATTCCCTCTTGGTTGTGTCACCTTCTGGAGCATTCTCGCAGTTGAAGGGAAATGCAATTTTTGAGGATATTAATAAAAGGCCTCGAAACCCCCCTATTCCCATGCTGGATGTTATCATGGGACGTTTAGGAGACGAGGACTGAGGCCCAATGAAGATCATCTCCACCTTGCATCAGTCCTTGCCTCAGCTAATTTTGCATGGTCTTTTTCTTCACCTTTCTTTTTCCTGCTCTTCTTCATCCCTTCTGTCCACATGCTAAAGTGTGAGAGCATGCTGAAAGGATGAAAGACTGGCTTTGTGTCATCTTGAACGGCTTTTCATCCTCCATTTGCTATTCCTTCTTTATCATTTTCACTACCATACTAACCTACAGCACTCTCTACATACTTTGTGTGTGTTCGTTTTTTGCGTGTTTTTTTTTTTTTTTTTTTTTTTTTTTTTTTTTTGCTTTTCTGTTTTTTTGTTTTGTCTCACTCACTCTCACTCACTCACTCTCTCTCTCTCTCTCTCTCCTCTCTCTCTCTCTCTCTCTCTCTCTCTCTCTCTCTCTCTCTTCTCTCTCTCTCTCTCTCACTCACTCTCACTCACTCACTCACTCACTCACTCTCACTCACTCACTCACTCTCACTCTCACTCTCACTCTCACTCTCACTCTCACTCTCACTCTCACTCTCACTCTCACTCTCACTCTCACTCTCACTCTCACTCTCTCTCTCTCTCTTCTCTCACCACATACATACCACCACGCACGCACCACGCAAAACAAACAAACAACAAACAACAAACAAACAAACAAACAACAAACAAACAAAACAAACAAACAAAAAACAAACAAACAACACACACACACACACACACAACACACACACACACACACCACACACACACACACACACACACACACACACACACACACACACACACACACACACACACACAAAAAACATAATAAGAGGCAAGTTGAATTGTCACTCGCACAGAGGAGGATTTACCTGTGCTCGAAAAAATTGCTTTCAATGGTATTATATGTCATGTTGAATCATATTTAACTTATTTAGAATTAAAAAGAGAAAAAGTAAAAAAGTGAGATGATGATGTTTATGTTTAATACAATTAATAATGACATAGTATTTTATTAATCAACCTCTTTCATTCTCTCTCTACTTTTAGCCTATGGTTTCATGTTACAGGTAAGGCTTAGTATCCGTCAGTAAGGTGTGAGAATTTTTTTTTATATATTGTAAAAGATAAAAGATTCACATTAATTATATACACATATTATGGATAATATAATCTCATTTATAAATTATTTGTGAATTTGTTTTATATTCATATTTCATAATTCAGCATCTGCGACTCTGCTAATTAGGTATTTTCTTTCAAGAAGTTTTTACTTATAAAGGCCATGTGGAAGTACCGTTAGTGCAAAAGAAAAAAAATTATATATTCAACTTGCTCTATATTAGAGAAAATAAGAATCCATGTTAAAGAGTCACACTAACTGGAAAGGCTGGAGAAAAGAAAGAAAATTAAATAAAAAATTCTTTCTAGGACTGTAGACAAATTATTGAAATTCTTTGAAAATTAATGGTATTGATCAGTAACACCTTAGACTTTGAGGTGTGACTAATCATTAATAATAATTTTCTCTTCTTTTTGTAATATTTTGAATATATTTTTTTCTCTCAAGAACTTGTTATTTTTAATAAACTGCATGTTCTAATTTTTTATTTTCCTTCTGGAGTCAAAATATTTTCCAGGGCAAATGATTCCGTGGTCCAATACTTTTTCTAGCCCTGTTAACTGGCTCAGTTTGCAAAATCTTTTTAATCTTGTCCTCTTGATCTCAACGTTTCCGAGTGAGACACTTCAAAGGACATACAAACACCATCGAGAGTTTAAGTCGAATCATCTTATTTAGAATAAATAAATTGAGATAATAAATGGTGGAATAAATATTATAAGGAAAACAACCTAAATTATATTTTTCTTGTATATTTAAATACCAATGAGTCAACGGCCAGGTACAAATACAAATAAAGATGTACATTACTATGGCTGTGAAACATCTTAATTACAAAGGGCTGTCAGAGAAGCCCATTTCCAAATATTTAAGATTTATCCCAAGCTGAAGTTACTTGTACAGTAAATTTTTTTAAATGGACTTGAAGTGAGATGTAACAGGAAGCACAAGCATTATACAAAAATATAATTACAAGATGATAAGGTACCTAAAACTCAAGGTAGAGGTAATGCACCGGATCCCTTCAGTCAATACTGTTCCCAAATCAAGATAAAATGTGAACTTATGCCATTGATAATACAATAACAAGGTTTGTGATTCTCTAAAAAATAGAAAAAAAAAAAAAAAATCATACAGCACTATGCAAGTTCCTAAAATGGCTTTCATAAGTCTGCATACCTGGTCCAGCTATCTCGTAAACTGAGTGTGTATAGGTAAATCAGGTGGAACATATACCTGGTAGGATATATTATTACAGAAGCCTAGTCATTTCTTCTCCACGACCCTTTCTCGGTTCTTTAAACAGTTTCAGTAAAGGAAGTTGTCATTTATTTGTCTCAGTCTATACAAAATATGAAATATTAAATAACAATAAAAATAATGACAGTAGAAGTAGTAGCTTTTTTTTTTTCTTTTTTTTCAGCCTTTTTTTTTGTTTTTGTTATAAATGTATACGCATAGTTGTAGATGCAGGAAGTAATAATGACGATGATGATGATGACCATACTAAAGAAATAACAATAATTAATAAACAAAGTAATCCCAGAAAACAATGCTACAATTAACAAAATAACTTACTATCATCACTACTTCTCTCCATCGTTACTACTACTATTATATCCACTATCACTTTAATTTTACTTTTCTTTGGGTGGGGAGGAGGGAGTTGGGGGAAGGAAATTAAATAAGATTAAAAATATATACTAAACAAAAGTATGCCGACTTTGGTTTATCTGGAAATGTAAGGCTCCTTAAAGACAAGAGCTGGCATAGTGCTTAGATTGGTCTCTTTCTACAATTCATCTGCAAGATTGTCAACCAAATACAAAGCCCACCTAGGACACGAAT